GATGGAATTCCAGCTGAGCTATTTCAAATCCTAAAAGATGATGCTGGTAAAGTGTTACACTTAATATGTCAGCAAACTTGGAAAACTCAGCAGTGGCCATAGGACTGGAAAATGTCAGTTTTTATCCTAATCCCAAGGAAGGTCAATGCCAAAGAACTTTTGAACTATTGGACATTTGTGTTCATTTCACATGCTAGCAAGGTAATGCTCAAAATCCTTCAAACTAGGCTTCAGCAGTGTAAGAACTGAGAACTTCCAGATGTACAAGCTAGGTTTAGAAAAAGCAGAGAAACCAGAGCTCAACATTCATCGGGTTACAAAGAAAGCAAGGGAATTCCAGAAAAAAACATTTACTTCTGCCTCATTGACTATGCTAAAGTCTTTGACTGTGTGAATCTTAACAGACTGTGGAAAACTGTTAAAAGATGAGATTATCAGACCACCTTATTTGTCTCCTAAGAAACTTGTATATGGGTCAAGAAGCAAGAGTTAGAACTGAACATGGAACAACAGACTGGTTCAAAGCTGGAAACGGAGATGACAAGGCTGCATATTGCCACATTGCTTATCTAACTAATATGCAGAGTACCTCATGAGAAATGCCAGGCTGGATGATCACAAACTGGATCCAAGATCGCCAGGAGAAATATTAACAACCTCAGCTATGCAAATGATATCAATCTAATGGCAGAAAGTGAAGAGAAACTAAAGAGCCTCTTGATGATCGAGAGAGAGGAGAGTGAAAAAGCTGGCTTAAACTCCACATTCAAAAAACTAGTATCATGGCATTCAGTCCCATTACTTCATGGGAAGTAGAAAGGGAAAAATTGCAAACACTGACAGTTTTCTTTTATTGGGCTCCAAAATCATGGCAGACAGTGACTGAAGCCATGAAATTAAAAGACACTTGCTCCTTGGAAGAAAAGCTATGACAAACCTAGACAGAGTATTCAAAATCAGAGATATCACATTGCCAACAAAGGTCAGTCTAGTAGCTATGCTTTTTCCAGTAGCCATGTACGGATATGAGAGTTGGACCATAAAGATGTCTGAGCATTGAAGAATTGATGCTTTCAAATTGTGGTGTTGGAGAAAACTCTTGAGAGTCCCTTGGACAGCAAGATCAAACCAGTCAATCCTAGAGGAAATCAACCCTGAATATGCATTGGAAAGACTGATGCTGATGCTGAAGCTCCAATACTTTGGCCACCCGATAAGAAGAACTGATTCACTGGAAAAGACCCTGATGCTGGGAAAGATTGAAGGCAATTGGAGGTAGCAGTGGATGAGACGGTTAGATAGAATCACCGACGCAATAAAGATGAATCTGAGTAAACTTCAGGAGCTAGTGAAGCTCAAAAGAGCCTGGAATGCTGCAGTCCACAGGGTCACAAATAGTCTGACAGGACTTGGTGACTGAACAACTACAAATGAGGCTTTATCATCAAAACAAACACTCAGTTTAAAAAACGAGCAGATCTAAATAGACATTACACCAAAAAGCTTTTTAAGTCATGTTATATTTTAATATATTAAGAACAAAATACCTGTGCTGATTTTTATTTTAACCTAACAGAACCAAAAGAGAACAATATTCAACCAAGAAAGGTCGGTCACACTGATCATAATAAAGTCTTAAGGCTGAAAATGTCTTTTTTCCCCTTTGTACTTAGCACTGGCTACACAGTATCCTCAGAGTATTCATTATATGAAAAAATATTAATCACAGCTTAGAGTCCTTGTTTCAGAGAAACCAATGATAAATCAAATTAGAAGTTGAAGCTGCATCTTTGTTTTTAAAGATGTATTCTTATTTTTTCATATAGAAGTTTAAATCAGTATAAATCACATATTATAAATATATATAAACCATTACATTTGAGGTAAAGTTCAGCACTTGATTTATACAAAGTCTATGAAAAGAAGCTAGTAGAAATCATCTAATACTAAATGTTACATCATTCACTCCAGCCCATGCACAATCTCACTGTATAAATGCAAACAAAACAAAACAAAGAAACTACCCACCCTACCCCCCCCCCCAAAAAAAAAAAAAAAATATTTCATGACCCAGATATGCATGTTGGTTTGATCATTCACCCAGAGCCAGACATCCTAGAATGCAAAGTCAAGTAGGCCATAGGAAGCATCATTATGAGAAAAGCTAGTGGAGGTGATGGAATTCGAATTGAGCTATTTCAAATCTGAAAAGATGATGGTGTAAAAATGCTGNAAAAATAAGAGTGGTTCATGGTTCCCATCATGCCACATACATTGGCCAGTTTCTTCACTGCTCTCTCACTTCGTTTTACCTGATGTCACTTCCCCCATTTAAAAATCTCCTGTCTACTTTACTCCATATGACCTCTTGCCTAAGATTCCTTTCCAGTTCAGCCAAATTTAACATTCTATAGGAGCTATCCCCATTGCTTCCCATTCTTAGTGATCCCACATAATGACATCTCACTTAGTTTACTACAGAGTTTATACAATACATTTCATCATACACTGTCTTGTACTGTGTCTGTCATATGATAAGTACTTTATGAATGTCTGTTGCATAAATGAACCCATGAACTAGTCAATTATCTAACTATATCATGAAAAGTCAGATAGCATCAGTAGAGAATAAGTATATGAGTCAAGTAATCATGTGTCCAAGGCCTTGTTTGGCCATTACATATGCTGAATAACTTAGGCTAACTGCTTTACTATTTTCAGCCTCAGTGGTAAAATGGAAACATCAAAAGATTCCTAACTTGTGTGCCTTTTGTGAAGGTTAAATGAAAATGAATCCACATGTAAGACCTAGCAGCTAGTTAATGTTAAGTGCCTGTTAAGTTACTCAGTCATGTCCAACTCTTTACAACAGCCAAAATATGGAAATAATCTAACACCCATCAATGGATGAATGAATTTTTTAAAATGTGAGATATACACACAAACACATATATATGTCTTTAAGGAAATCTTATCTGCAGTGTTATATGTCCATTATACCCCTATGAAAATTGTGGGGGAGTGACAGAACTTTTGTCGTTATTCAGTGGCCAGGTCATGTCTGACTCTTCATGATCCCGTGGACTGCAGTGAGCCAGTAACAGAACTATTAGAGTGAATAAACCAAAGCCACATATTTCAACCCAGATAGATCTCAAACCCAAAATACTGATAAAAACATTGATTGTAGAAGAGTTACTTTAAAAATAGACAACAGAGGATGAAATGGTTGGATGGCATCACCGACTCAATAGACTTAAGTCTGAGCAAGCTCCAGGAAACTGAAGGACAAGGAAGCCTGGCCTGCTGCCTTACACGGGGTTGCAAAGAGTTGGACATGACTGAGAGACGGAACAACAAAGAAATACTTGTCGGTTCCTCTTGGTGATACTGTGGAAATCTGCTGCTGACTTTGAAAAGTGATAAAGGGGAAAAAATTAAAAAATAAAAATAAAAACAGCAGTCATATAAATATTAGAAGCATTGCATGGGAATTCCCTGGTGGACCAGTGGTTAAGAATCTGCCTTGCAAGGCCAGGAATGCTCAGGGAACTGAGAGCCCAGATGCCATGGGACAAGTAAGGCTGTGCACTGCGACTAGAGAAAGCACCTGTGCTGCAATGAAGTAGCCTGTGCCAGGCAACAGGGACCTAGCACAACTGAAAAGAAAACAAATTTTAAAGATGCATAACAACTATAGTGAAACAGGAAGCTATGGACTGGAAGGATAAAAACTAGGTTGTGATTAATATCTCCCAATGGCACCCCACTCCAGTACTCTTGCCTGGAGAATCCCATGGATGGAGGAGCCTGGTGGGCTGCAGTCCATGGGGTCGCTAAGAGTCGGACACGACTGAGAGACTTCACTTTCATTTTTCAGTTTCATGCATCGGAGAAGGAAATGGCAACCCACTCCAGTGTTCTTGCCTGGAGAATCCCAGGGATGGGGGGAGCCTGGTGGGCTGCCGTCTATGGGGTCGCACAGAGTCGGACACGACTGAAGCGACTTAGCAGCAGCATAGACTTTGGAAGATAGAAAAGTGACTTGAATGCTCTTTTATTTTTAGAGAAATCTTTTAATCATATGTCGAAAATCTGAGTGTGTGCTATACACCTCTGGAACTATGATTCATATTTTGCGTATCACACAAATGCTAAGACACAGGTAGGCACACGGGATAGCACGGAAGTTTGGAATCTCAATTTCTACACCATCTTGAGGCTTCAGAAGAGGAATCTCTCTAAGCAAACCAAAAAAGACAAGGACTAAGACATCTCCCTCCCATGCTCATTAAACACCTATTAAGGACTAGCCTCACTGTTAGAGCTGTGATGTAGGGCGTCTTAACCTTCAAAAAAGTTACAAAGACAGAGCCTCCTTTACATGTGCTGCATGTAAAGTGGATTCAGTTATTCACCACATAATTCATAATTCAACCTCTGTAAGCAACTACAAGATGGAACGAAGGTATCTGCAAAAACGTGTCAGAATTAAGCAATGAATTAAGCAATTCATCTAAAGCAGGGGACGCAATACCTGGCATGTAGCATGCGCCCAAGAAATATCACGCGCTGTTGTTTTCCTGATTATCAGGCGCGGTTCCAATGCTTTGGTGAGAGGGAGACTGAAAAACAGAGCTCAAAAGTCCGCGGCGCTCTCTGAGATGCAGTGAAATCATAAACCCAAGAGCCCAGACGCTCTCACAAAGAGACGGGCTCTCTAAACGCTTCCAGCCGGGCCTTTTCCAACACCGTTGCTGTTCTGCTAGGAACCTGGCTACAGGCACCTGGTGGGCGGTAGGAGGGCTAGGTGGACACACAGGGAAGTAGGGGACCGGCTGGGGCGAGCTGAGGGGAAGGCAGAAGGCGGGGCCTGAGAAAGAACCGGGAGCTTCAAGCAGATCAGGTTTTGCCACAACCTAGAGGGGCAGAGGGGCGGTGAGGCGCGCCGGCGAGGCGGAGTGGAGTCGCAGAAGGTGGCAGACGGGGAAAGAGGGCGGTGCTAGTAGCGTGGAGACCGAGTACCGGAGGACCTGGGCCGACTCGGACCGCGGAAGGGGGACCAGCGCAGCCATGTTGAAGGCGTTGGGCTCCCTGGCGGCTGCCCTCTGGGCCGCGCTCCGTCCCGGCACTGTCCTGCTGGGGGCCGTCGTCTTTCTCCTCTTGGCTGATTTCCTCAAAAGGCGGCGTCCAAAGAACTACCCGCCGGGGCCCCCGCGCCTGCCTTTCGTAGGCAACTTCTTTCAGTTGGACTTTGAGGAGGGGCACCTGTCGCTTCAGCGGGTAGGAGCGGGCGAAGGTGCCCGGGCGCGTCCCGATCCTGACCTGCAGAACAGGGGCCATTCCGGGTACCGAGGGCGGGAGGATGGGGGTTCTTAGGCTGAACCAGGCACCCGACTACACCTTACTTTGAACCTCTCTCGTTTCCCCAGTGACTGGCATGATTACACCACCCGTGGTTTCTAGGGGTGAAATATTGTTAACTGTCCACTATTTAGTGTGTTAGACACGATGCGTTCTCTAAGTCATTTAACTGAGGGCCTTGCTGCATACTATTGGGACTTTCTATTTATAATATGATCAATTTATCTTTTTAATATCATTATCCTTGGGGGAAAAAATCCCGTATTTTGCCACTTGGTAAAATGGTGATAAATACTATCTAAATCCTCAGCGTTTTTCGACTAAATTGCTCCTAACTCCACAAGGACTGAGCCCCTCACATTTAGCCTCCTCACCCAGCAGTCCACACTCACTAATCATTTTTAAATGTCATTCCTTTGCTTAGATTTTGTTAGTGATCCGTGCTGCTTCCCAGAGTTCTCGTTCCTTAGGGAGCTACTTGAGGAGAGCATGGCAATCCACTCTAGGACTCTTGCCTGGAGAATCCTATGGACAGAGGAGCCTGGCAGGCTACAGACCGTGGGGTCGCACAGAGTCGGACAGGACTGAAACAACTTGGCACGCAGGATGCTGGGAGCTACTTGTAACTTCTTTCCATTTCTTTTTAGTCATCTCCCATTAGTTCAGTTCAGTTGCTCAGTCGTGTCCGACTCTGCAATCCCATGAACCGCAGCACCCCAGGCCTCCCTGTCCATCACCAACTCCCAGAGTTTATTCGAACTCATGTCCATTGAGTCAGGGACGCCATTCAACCATCTCATCCTCTCTCATCCCCTTCTCTTCCCAGCTTCAGTCTTTCCCAGCATCAGGGTCTTTTCAAATGAGTCAGCTCTTTGCATCAGGGGGTCAAAGTACTGGAGTTTCAGGTTCAGCATCAGTCCTTCCAATGAACACTCAGGACTGATCTCCTTAGGATCGACTAGCTGGATCTCCTTGCAGTCTAAGGGACTCTCAAGAGTCTTCTCCAACACCACAGTTCAAAGCATCAGTGAGCTCCGTAAGTAGCTGTAAAATGTGACCTCGTCATTCTGAGGTAGGAGATAGATGTGCGCCTGAGATGGGCACCTGGTGTTTGTTGAGTGGAGTAAAACCAAGCCTTTTTTCTCACCCAGGCACTTCAAAGACAAAGCTAGTGGCAAAAGTTGAGTTCTGCTAAAGTAAAGAGATAAGGTGCCCACTCCTGAGATCCTGGAAGACTTCCCTGTCTGCACATGTGCAGGAAGTCTTCTTGGGGGTCAAAAAGGGAGGGGGCCCCACCCTACAATAAGTGTGGACATGTACCCACAGGTCTCTACATTGAAATCCATCTTAGAAAGAAGTTGTGCAGGCATCTTGGGGAGGGTCCTAGGACTAGTGAGATGTGAAGAAAAAAACAAGATAATTGGCAATATGTGAACAAGACCCAGAAGCACTGTTCAATGTAAGTGATTTAAATCAACTTTTTAGTGCCTTCCTCATTGAGGACACCACACTCCTCTTTGGTTATGTTCCTCCCCATTCAGGACTCCTGCACTCCTCAGTGGGTGTGTATTTCTGCCTTGCTTGTGTCTTCCCTAATTGTGGCCATTCTGAATTCCTTAATATTTCCTCCAACATCCAGCACTTTCTCAAGCACCTTCAGCTGCTTCCCTGCGTCTCATCATAGGTATCTTGCTGACAGACAGCACTGTGATAGATGGTTGTGAACGTTAAATAAAATGGTGAATGGTCCATACTAATACAGCTTATTGTAGGTTCCAAACAAATAACAGTTCCCCTTGAATGCCTGAAGCACTTTAAACACAAGTCTGTAATATAAACTCAAGTTAAGATGGAGAAGATTTTTTATCATTTTTCTGGGAGAAACACACAATTGGTACCATTTAAGTAATTGGATTCATCTCCAGAATTTTAAAGCTAGTCTCCTAAACCTGTCAGTTCAATTCAGTCGCTCAGTCATGTCCGACTCTTTGTGACCCCATGGACTGTAGCATGCCAGGCTTCCCTGTCCATCACCAAACTCCCGGAGCTTGCTCAAACTCATGTCCATTGAGTGGATGATGTCCTCCACCCATCTCATCCTCTGTCACCCCCTCTCCTCCTGCCTTCAATCTTTCCCAGCATCAGGGTCTTTTCTAAGGAATCTAAACCTGTACCTTTGTTTAATAAATATGCTGTTTAACTTCCAAGTATTGGGAGATTTTCTTGTTTTCTTTCTGTTAATGATTTACAGTTGGAGTCCATTATGGTCAGAGAACATGCATGATTTCAACTTTGAAAAAACTATATTAAAGTTGACCCAAGATACAGTCCATACCTACTTGAAAAAAAGTGTATTCTGCTCTTGTTGAGTTGAATGTTCCATACTATATGTCAGTTAGACCTTATTAGATGAATCAGTTGTTTAGTGCTCCTGAACCCTTGTTGACTTCTTACCTACTAATTCTATCAATTACTAGGAGAGGCTCGTTGAAGTCTGCAATTTATAATTACAGGTTTCTCTGTGTATCTATTCAGTTCTGGTAGTTTTCATGTATCAGAGAAGGCAATGGCACCCCACTCCAGTACTCTTGCCTAGAAAATCCCATGGATGGAGGAGCCTGGTAGGCTGCAGTCCATGGGGTCGCTAAGAGTCGGACACGACTGAGCGACTTCACTTTCATTTTTCAGTTTCATGCACTGGAGAAGGAAATGGCAACCCACTCCGGTATTCTTGCCTGGAGAATCCCAGGGATGAGGGAGCCTGGTGGGCTGCCGTCTGTGGGGTTGCACAGAGTCGGACACGACTGAAGTGACTTAGCAACAGTTTTCATGTATGTGTTTCACAGCTTTTTTACTTGGCACCTACGCACTAAAATTGTGGTGTCATCTTTGTGAATTTGTTCTCTTATTATTAGTTAATGTCCCTCTTTTTCTCTGGTAATTTTCTTTGCCTGAATTTTACTTTATCTGATATACTATAGCCACACCAGCTCTCAGCTCTCTTTTGATTAGTATTTACATAGTATATGCTTCTCCATTTATTTACTTTTAACCTATTTATATCATTATATTTGAAATGAGTTTCTTGTTAATAACATACAGGTGGGTAAATTTTTGTTCATTCTTCTAATATCAAACATTTAATTGGTGAGTTTAGATCAGTTATATTTAATGTAATTATTGATTTGTTAAAACTGAAGTCTGCCAATTTATTATTTGTTTCCTATTTTTCACTTTGTTTTTTTACTCGTCTTGTTTTTTACTCTTTGTTTTTTCTCCTTTCCTCTCTTTGTAGGTCACTTGAATATTTTTTTAGAATCCATTTTCATTTGTGTTTTTGAGTATTTCTCTTTGTATTGTTTTTAAGTGCTTGCTGTAAAGATTACATGCTATGCATACATAACTTATTGCAGTAAGTGTCAAAGGTGGAATACACATACCTTAAAACTCTTTAGGTCCCTTTACCTTCCCCCACTTTATAATATATAAATTTTCTTAAATATTATCTCTATATACACTAAGAACCACCTCAGATAGTATTATAATTTTTCTTTTAACTGTCAAACACAACGTGTTAAATTCAAGAAGATTAGTCTACTGTATTTACCCATTTCTTTACCCTTTCTGTTGCTCTTCCCTAACTGAAGAACTTTCTTTAACCATTCTTTTAGAACTTATCTGCTGAAAAAAAAAAAATTAGCTTTCCTTCATCTAAGAATGTTTTTATTTCACCTTCATTTCTGAAGCATATTATCACTGGACATAGAATTTTAGGTTGACAGTTTCTTTTATTAAGCCCCTGAAAATGTAGTGCTACTTCTTTCTGGTTTAGGAACTAGGGTTCCTCATGAGCAATCTGCTATAATTTGGACTGTTGTTCCCCATAAGTAATGAATTGTTTTCCTCTACATGCTTTGAAAGCTAGATTTTCTTAGTTTTTAGATTTCAGAAATTTGATTATATGCCTTAGTGTTGAATTCTTTGGATTTATTGGGTTCACTCACAACTTCTTGCCTCAGTAGATTTTGCTAATACCAAATTTGAGAATTTTTCAGCCTTTATTTCTTCAAATATTTTTTCAAGTCCATGTTTTTTCCTTCTGGTACTCTTTGGCACTGATGACACAAGTGATAGATCTTCTCCTAGTCTAATATCAGTCCCTGAGGCTCAGCTTTTTATCTCTTCTCAATCTGTTTTCTCTGTGTTGTTCAGATTGGACACTTTCTGTTAATGTCTTCAGTTTCACTGATTATCCTGTCATTACCACTCTGCCATTGAATTGCTCTAATGAGTTTTTGTTTAGTTATTGTTTTTCAATTTTAAAATTTCTTTTTTGTTCATATGTGTATTTTCTGGTTCTTGGTTAAGATTTTCTATTTAAAATTTTTTCAAGAGTGTAATTGTTTATTGAAACATATTTTCAATAGCTGGTTTAAAATCTTTAACCTGTAATTACAGCATCTTTATCATCTCAGTATTGGTTTCAACTCATTCAATTTGAGATTTCTCTGATTCTTGATAACATGAGTAATTTTGGTCTATACTCTGGACATTTTGTGTATTTTGCTACATGACTCTAGACTCTGTGTAAACCTTTTGTTTTTGCAGATAGTCAAAACCTGCTTATGTTTAGAATGTTCACTTTTGTGAATTGCTGTTCAAATGTCAATTTAGGTTATAAAGCCTTTGCAGTGCTATACTGATCTACCCCACTTATATATTATTCACCTCAATAGGACTCCAACCCACATTCTCAACAGTGCAGACTGGAGAGAATGAGGATGAGGACAAAAGACTGGGGCCCCTTTGAGTACGGTAGCCTCTTCCTTACTGCAGGGGGTGGGGAGAACTCAGTAATCTGATCATATCATCTCCATGGAATATGGGTACCTCCTTATTTTTGTAGAGTTGTAGAAATC